GTTTCTCATTCAATGTCCCTTCAGGGCCTCCGTAGAAACGTATTCTTTAGCATGGCTATCAATCCTCCTTGAAATTTTCCACAAAGTAAAGAATAAAATGTATTTAATTCAAGAGTTTGTGAAGGGGAAGTAAAATTATAAAACATTCAGATGTGTAGCACTGTCAGATATTGTGACTTTGAAGCTGGACCAAAATGCAAACAAGATGGTGGGGACTTTATGTTGACAGAGGGTTTGGTGCTTACATACACAGGAGATGAGACTAACCACATAAGAAATAGGTGAGTCTTATTTGGGGCAACGCTGAGCAAGAACTAAGCAGTGGAGACTGAGGGAACTTAAATACTAAGATATCTTAACCTAAACACAAAGAAATGACAAAACTGAAACTAACAGAACAATTTAAATGGGGATGAAAACTGTATTACTACCTTCCACTTCACAATGCTCTGAAAACTTCAAGAGTTACATAAATCACTTATGCAGACATTTTTTTTATAACTTACGGTGGCATCTAATGGTGAAAATCTCCATTCGTATGTCCCAGCAATATAATTTTATTCTGAAAGAAGAGTGTTTATGACGTGCAGTTGTTTGCACTTGGGGCACAGTGACACATGGCCACCTACAGGCTCTCAAGGGAATCCAACTCTGTGGCTCTGCAGATTAAAGTTTGTTTTTTTTTCCACCTGCTTGAATGTCATTTCCTGCTTGTTAACTCTCCATTATCGTCTCTTACCTCATACCCACTTGACACGAGCACGAAAGAGAGCGCAGGCTTTTTCAGGGATTTGTCACACCTGCGCAAGAGAGGTTTTACCATTAATTATGTCATGTCAGGCAGAAGGTTGCCATCCGATATTTTGATAAAAGTCCACTGTGACATTCAGTTTAAGTAAAAGGTTTTGCTCTGATGCATATGGTATTTAGGACCTTCTTTTAGTAAGGGTGAGCTTAAAGTGTCGTGTTTTCACTGATTTAAGTGCATACAAAATTTAAAGAAAAAGAAAAAAAAATTTAAGAAGTTAAAGGCTCTGGTTGCAGAAACTAACTCGTAGCTGGGCGCACTAAACGGTAAAATTAATCCACAACTCTCAGAAGAGAGAACTCGAGGAAATGAATGCAAATTCATAGTTACTCACCAGCTCAAGACTCAGACTGTTTAGCCATGTTTCATCACCTCACAGAGATGAGTTGGGTATTGGTTGGATGCATAAGAACCTCTCTCTGCTTTGATGGTTATCAGGACAGTTTTAATTTCCTGTCAATTTGGGGGTGTTTTTCTGAATATTTGCACACACTCGGCTGCCTCAGCGCCGCTCCTTTAGGATTTTTGTTACAATCCCTGACAGGCCAACAGCAGAAGAGCTTATAAGCATGTTAAAATTAATGAAACAATATCCTGCAAGCGGGAATGCAAACTTATAGTGAAGCCAGAAAAGGTTTCAGGTTATTGTGCCACAAAATAATTACATCAATTGTTTACACCCCACTATTATTTTTATTATACATCTAATTTAATTTTTGGAACAATGCACGTTTCCACTTTGTCTAACAAATTAAATCCTTAAAAATGGGAATATTTTTGTCAAGACGTTCTCCTCATTGGACACCAAACTGAAATGTTTAGTATTACATATAAGCCTTGAGCCAATGTTGTGTAAGTAATGATTAACCCCATTCAAGCAATGTAAAAATCATTCAGAGGTTCCCCTACAGAGACCCTGTGCAGCAGCAGTGATTTGTTTTGCATCACAAACACAGGCTAAATGAGGGCCCAAAGCCTGAACACTCCTGTGGAGCCTGACAGCAGGGAAAATGCATGTAATCATCAAAAGCACTGGCAGGTGCTTTGGGCGTTACCTGTTCAACAGTGACAGATCGGATATGAAAGGCAGTGAGGTGCATACGGCAAAGTGAAAAAACACAGATGTAACGCCTGTACATGCTTAAAGCAACATAATTGGAAATGCCTAGATTTTTTTTTTATTTAAAAAAAAAACAACATAAAAAAAAAAACAGTGAGCTTGTTGGATGTTCTTGTCCATCTGACCAGCCTGGAATCCATTACAATAGACAGAGTCAGGACAGGAGTTGTGAAAAATGGTGAAGTTGGCCTTCTCCGTTTCCCTCAGGGCATGGGCAATTTTCAGCTCTAGTGAGCCTGGCTCCAGGAATACCCGACACTGAACACAGAGCAATATTCAAGCTCATTTATTCACATCTTCCCATGGCAGAGACTGACTGTCACCATTTTTACTCAAAACAAAAAAAGCTGAATTTAGGATTACAGCATGGAGGGCCTTAAATTCAATCAAACGCTTTTCTTGTTTTGGAGTGAAAGGTTTGTAGGATGGATGGTTAAGGAAAACATTCAACAGCTGTTTGTATTTGATAAACTCTACTGAATTGTGTATTATCCAAAGGATGGTGAACATTAACGCCACTCGTTCTCTGACAGCGCTCTGCCAGATGCACCGGCTGCAGTTCTAAAACTTTCAGGTAAGCTTCATGATCGATAGCTGTGCTACGAGCGCCTCTGATGCTGCTCTCTGCAGGTGATTCCGACTGCACTCGAGCTCAGCAGGTCTCAGTGCCAGTATTTTTCACCAGCCAAATTTAAAGTGAGGATGATTCTGCTTAGCTCCAGTAAAACAGATTTGCAACCTGCAAAATCATAGGCAGAACAGGGCTTGACGGCTATGGAAAAAAAATCAAAGCTTCCCATGTCGACCGCTTGTAATTTCCTCGTTACTTCAATGAAAAATAGAGTAAAGATTCTCCATACGTTTTGCACATTTACAGCTGTCTACGGTTAGCTTAGATTGGATTGGCGTGTTTGAGCTTTCTCTGACTTATGGCAGAGATTTCAGGTGTGGGACAAAGCTTATGGAAGTCAGACTTGGACGAAGAGCTGTTAAGGGACAAAATGATCCACTTCACTTCTCCAATCCGTGCGTCTCAAGTGAGCCACAAGTGTGTCTCATTGGTATTGTTCGTGTTTTTGTATGTTAATCAGTGGATTTATGCTTTTTGTGGGGATTAGGCCAGTTTAGCTCCATGGCTAATGCAATGATAAGGGATTTCTGGCTCAGCAGATAAGTGGATGCTCACTAGTTACTCAGCAACTAGGCTCTTTGGTTTAAGACTTTGTGTCAAAATGGCAAAACCAAGCCACAGAACAATACTTCACTTACTTTGATTTCATGAAATGTTCACTGGAAAGCTAATATCACTCTGGGAGAATCGTTACTTTGAACTCAAATTTAAAATAAAGATAATCTTGGAGAAATACGCAAAATCATCATGTGATGCTCTGCTTTGAAAACTGTCTTTTCAAAGAGGTGACCTGCAGTTTTTTCTTTATGTTACTGGAGGAGTTTCCCACAGGTTGGTTCTGGGTCCTCCTCCATTTCATCTTGTGTGTAAATGATTTTTCTCTTTATTCCTTTTTTTACTGCAATACCGTCATAATAAACAAATTAGAATGTTATTAAAAAGTTAATTTAGAGTTAATCATTCAGTTTACTAAGAGAACATATTATATAGATTAATTACATGCAGACTGATGTTTTCAGGCCATTTTTTCTGTTAATTACAAGGAAAACACAACATTCAAGATTAGAATATTACATCAAACCAATGAAAATAACAGTTTAATGCAATAATTTGTGTCTTAATTGGAAGACATATTGTAATTTATTAAATAGGATTATATGTATATTCTGTTGAATCACATCTTTTTTTTATAATTAAAGGGGCATGCTACAGATTATTACCAGAAAGGTAGAAGATAAGACACAATCAAAACAGTTATACTTCAGTCCCAGTGACAGGATTACATTGTGATTGAAAAATATTATTTTTTTTCTATTTGTTTCAAGTACAAACAAATAGAAAAGTGAGATGTGAGCCACAAACTAAAATCTCAAATCTGGACGTCTGCAAATAACAGTCAGATTGTCGTATTTGTGAACATTACCTTACAGGAATTGACGTTCACTTTGAACTGACGCTGAACGGCTCTCTCAACAGAATAAAGCTTATCTAGGGGTGAAAGGAGAGAAATGAAAACAACTCATCTTTCAACAAAGATGATATTTATGGCAAGTTGAAGTGTGATAAGTCTCCACAGCGACTGAATAGCTCAGAGTTTCGGCCATACCGAGGGGAAACCACATCAGAAGCATCACTGCTTACATCAGAGACGTCTGTGACAAAAAAACACAGCAGTACTTCATAAACTGAAGGTTTATTACACAGACTATCGGTCGGGTTTCAAATGAACCTGCAGTGATCGCTCCCCTTTTATAGATCAATTGGCAAATATTGTAATCTAATATCTGACAAACAAGCCTCATTGGAGCCCATTTTCTAATTTATCCGATTGTCCAATAAATGGAAGATTAGATTTTCTAGAAGGATGAAACACATTTTGTGTTCAGATATAGGATGTTAAATGTCAAGACCATTAATTTAAATATGACCGGATGTTTTAAATTGTTTTACATGCTTTTTTTTTTTTTATCGTCCGTTTATATCTGTTTAGATTGTAACCTTTTAGTTTCCTTTAATTTGTGTTTGTTTGAAATGACGCAGCTGCCTAATGGTGAGACGTTGGTTGCAGTGATTATGAAAATGTGCCTGATAAAGGTGCCTCTAATCGTCGTCGTCGTTACTGATTTAAAGGCCAAATTTATTATTGTGATTTGATGAATTAAATGACTAAAAGCCCAACGCAGAACAAGGCACACTGCTGATTTAAGTGGATTGCTAGAACATTAGTTGTTGTTTTTTGTTTTGTTGTCCCTTCTTGATGATTTTACTTACACCGTTTCCTGTCAAATGTCATTACGAAGAGATTCACTAGAAGTATTCCCAGTTAGAGAAGCTCATATTGTCGTTTTACCTTAACCTCAACATTTTAGCTGTATGTGACACTGTGAGTGTCACAGTCTTTAGCTTTTCTAAGAAATTCTGTCTCTTTTGCTCCCTTGCAGGTTCCAACCGACTTGTACGTGGCAACAAAGAAACCAAATGCCATGGATGTCTTTAACTTTACATCCTGGAATGCCTCTGAAGGCAATGAGACAGAAGTCATGGAGGAGAGAGACAGTCCTTACAAGACCGTGGAGGTAGTGTTCATCGTGCTGGTGGCTGGTTCCCTGAGTTTGGTCACTATCATCGGCAATATCCTGGTCATGCTTTCCATCAAGGTGAACAGGAACCTACAAACTGTCAACAACTATTTTTTATTTAGCCTTGCATGTGCTGACCTAATTATTGGACTGTGCTCCATGAACTTGTACACAGTATATATAGTAATAGGCTACTGGCCCCTGGGGCCAGTCGTGTGCGACTTGTGGTTGGCTTTGGACTATGTTGTCAGCAATGCGTCTGTCATGAATCTCCTTATCATAAGCTTTGACAGATACTTCTGTGTCACCAAGCCCCTGAGCTACCCTGTAAAGAGAACCACCAAAATGGCAGGGATGATGATCGCTGCTGCCTGGGTCCTTTCCTTCATCCTCTGGGCACCTGCTATCCTCTTCTGGCAGTTCATTGTTGGTGGGCGGACTGTGCCTGAGAAAGAGTGCTACATTCAGTTCTTTTCCAATGCCGCTGTTACTTTTGGAACTGCCATTGCCGCCTTTTACCTGCCTGTCATTATCATGATTCAGCTGTACTGGCAGATCTCGCGAGCGAGCAAAAGTCGAGTGAAGAAGGACAACCGCAAGCCTTCAGGATCAAACCCAGAACCTTTGTTACCGGGCCAGAGGAGAGAGAGCACTCCGAAACCCAACAACAACAATGTTCCTGGGGAAGACGGAGCGCATTCCCAGAACCAGACTGCAGATGATGGAGCCAACCAGCACGATGGAAAGCTGCAGAATGGAAAAGGGCCTTCATCGTCTGCTGCCGACGTAGAAACGGAGGGTGACAGTGTTGCAAAGGAGAACTGTGCTCCTGCAGAAGAGAAGGAGAGCTCAAATGACTCCACGTCCGGCAGTGTGGCAGCTTCCAATCAGAAGGACGAAGAACAAGTCGCCTCTGCAGCAAACTCCAGTGCTGAGGCTACGCAGCAGCTGCCACGGCAACGAGCCAAGGCTGGGGGCTCCAAGCTGACCTGCATCAAGATCAAGACCAAGTCCCCGAAGGGCGACTACTACACACCGTCAAACGCCACAGTTGAGATCGTGCCGACCACAGAACGTCAGAACCACGTGGCGAGGAAGATCGTGAAGATGACGAAGCAACCGCCAAACAAGAAGAAGAAAGGAGCCCCGTCGCGGGAGAAAAAAGTGACCCGCACGATAATGGCCATCCTGGTGGCTTTCGTAGCTACCTGGACTCCGTATAACGTGATGGTGCTCATCAATACTTTTTGTTCTAGTTGCATTCCCAACACTGTTTGGACTATTGGTTACTGGCTGTGCTACATCAACAGCACCATCAACCCAGCCTGCTATGCTCTGTGTAATGTCACGTTCAAAAAGACATTCAAACATCTCCTCCTCTGCCAATACAGAAACATTAGATCAGCCAGATAAATACAAGCCCCCACTGTGTATATGTCCCACGTATGGGTGTAGTGTTGTTGTCCATGCATACGAGTTTATGTGAAAAATGTGTGAGACTGAGACGAGAAGATTTCAAAATCACTTTCATCATCCATTTTCCAATTTCTCTCAATAAGCTGTTGTAGCACTTTACTCTTATTCAACTGAATTCAGTTGCTGTCACTCGTGTTGTGCAGGAGCAGCGTGTAAAACAAGGGTTATAAAAACGTATTTAGGTTTGAAACCTTGAAAAAAAGATCAGCGAACATAAGGAGAGTAGCGGAGAAGGATGCTGAGCAGACTGAAGAGAAAGCAGGCTAAAAGGCAGAAGACGATCTGTGCCGTATGGAAAACGCTTCAAAATGGGAAATAGGGCTGACTGAATGTTCAAACCTTTCAAGTTTGAAGTTCAGTAAAGATATTTGTAGATATCTGTATATATAAATGGTGTATGTTCTATTTGTGTATGCACATGTGGGTGTGTGCTAGCTTAGTGTCTGCGTTCACACCCACTTGTGCCTCTTTGCTTGCCTTCTTCTTTCAATGTGTGATCATCCTCATCACAGCTCTTCCTACCAGCAATATATAGAAAATTGAGTGTTTTGTTTAGGTTTTCGCTGACAGGCTCTCGTCCTAATTGGTGGTCATCCAATTTAACAAAAAAACAACAACAAAAAAAGCCTCGGTAAAAATCAATAGGCAAAACTTCATAAAATATTAATGCAATAAAGTTTCACTTGTCAAACTTGCACACAAAAGAGAAGAACTGAAAATACAGCTATTGTGATTTCAGGATAGTTGAAAAGAAGTCGATTTCACTTCAACGTTTAATCAATATCGTTCACATTTGTGGGGCGTTTGGAGGATTACGATACAAAGTTCCTACTAAGTCTCTTTACTTTAATCCCATTTTCTTTATTAAAATGACACCAAGCATTTTTATCACGTTAAAGGGACATCTTGAAAATTGGGGGTGGCACAAAAACATCAAATTTTATGGTTTGAAAACCACTTTCTGATGATGGTTCAAGACAATCAACATTAGGGTTGCAGCAAGAAATCAGCCAGCGGCTGAAATTTGAACATTTTTCCATTTGACCGCTGTTCAAACTCCATCCTTGGGGCAAGGAGCCCAGCATGTCATAGATGCTCTAATACAGCAAAATCACATGGCTAGATGACCTTCTTAGCATGATAGCAGGTTCTGCATTGGCCCAGTAATGACCCAATGGGTTCAATCACATGTTGAAGTAGGAAAACATCTAAAAGATGCAACACTGCTGGAAATGGCCAATCTGTCCTAATGGCTAAAGGTTTTCTGGGATGTTATTTCTGGATGGACACAGCATGCACACCTGTAAAATATGCCATTTGTAAAGCCGAGTCCTGAATTTCTTCTTTTTTTTGCATGACCCGCCATTTAGGGCACACTCAACCAAATCTCACAATTTGGACCAATCAAATTAGGTATAGAGGATTATGATTACCGCCTCATCACATTTCCTGCAAAGAATCTACCTAATACAACTTGTCATGTACTATTAAAGTGAAAGACGAAGTGAATAAATCAAGACATGTTGACCAGACAACCGAAGAGGGGAAAAAAATAATATTTATATTTGGCATGAAATCGTTCAGTCGCACTTTTTCATTTGCCGCAGTCCTCGTCACTTCAGCTTTTACTGCTGACAGGATGTCAGGTGTTGATTTTTATGGCAGCTATTAAGATATTTATGTTTGCTGTCAGGTTGCTAAGAACACAGCGAGTCAAACAGGAGGTAGGAGCTCAGAGCTGTCCTGCATTGGGGTCTGTGGGAGGGCATTTTGTGGTGTGTGTGTGTGTGTGTGTGTGTGTGTGAGCGTGCAGAGGAGTGGATACCTTTATTTGATCTTTCTGATTCATTGATTCACGTATCGCAAGGATGAAACTCGTGAACTCGTGGATGCAGTGGGTAAAGCTGCTGCTGCTGTGTGCTTGCGCGCTCCAAGTGTGGAGTTGAACTTCCGATCACAGGTCTCAGCCTCGTGATTTCGAAAAAGGGCTATTTTTACGTCTCCACACGCTTGCTGCGACTCCTCTCCATCCGATCTCGTAATTGATTCCGAGTCGCCGTAGTTCAATTAAAAGTGATAAGTCGCTGTGTTTACTTTAGCGCCAGGAGAAAGGAGAAAATATCAATTTACCGAGAGGCATGCTCCGTGTTTCCATGCATGTCATCCATCATTTCAGCCTATTAGACCACTCTGGGTTACAGTAATGCGGCTGGCTCGTTGGAGTGATGAATATGCAGCAGCGTTTTGCCATCAGGAGGTTGCCACAGCGGCTGGTAGGGGGGCTTTGCTGAGATTTACGCCTGCACCGGGTAGCTCCTTGAGGCTGTCGGCTTTAAAGAGAGATCTGGGACAGATCCTATAATGAAAACTCACCATGAGGCTGATCAGATTACGGGCCGATGTGGAACACCTACATTTTAGATTAAAGGCTGCCCATTACACGCTCAGCTTGTGGCTGCAATCCGGTGCCCCACTTATAGCATGGTTCTTCTCAGTCATTATCCTTGTATGGTCTCTAATTTTCATAAGGTCACGAGTGTAACATAAATATGTCATGTACAATTGTGTTGAGCACCGTGTTACTAGTTAATGCTCTGCCCCTAGAATCCTTCTCCCAGTTAGAAAATTTACTAGCTGTAAATACTATTTCTAGGCTGCTGAAAGCTGAACCTCGGATTCAGCGGCCAGTTGATTTGTGACCTGCAGTCGGTTTGCTCTGTATTTAGCTCCGTCCACCTTCCTGTCAACTCTGACCGTCTTAAACAGCTTCAACAGCTTTATCTAACTACAGCACCTTCCTCCATATTTGCTGTGTCCCCTGCACTGCATAGTCACTTGTTATGGTGTTGGTATAAAAGGCCAGTTTTCCTCTCTGCTGCAGCTTCTTTTGACTGAATTCATGTCAAATTTACACACAGGTGGACTTTTTTTTTCATTCTAAAAAATGATTTTATTCTGGTGAATCTGAGTAATTTTGTTATTTATTTGACAAAAATTCAAATAAATAAATAGAAGTTTGTGGTTGCAATCTGACAAAATGTGAAAAATTACGTATAATGTCATATAAGAGAACGAAAAGATTATTTTAGCTTTATGCATCAAGATAAATGAAAGGGGTTGGGGAGGGAATTATTTTGTAATTTTCTTTTTTTTACAGATTTTTCTATTTCCATTTGCCTCCACTGTTTCAAAAAGATCTATAGTGATGTTGGCCAGAAGATGACTTGATTTCAACTGAGTATAACTGAGTTACTTCCTCCTTGGAAAACTCAGACCGGAGCAACTCGGCTAGATTGTTAATTACTGACTGAGAAAGTGAATCATTAGTTTCAAAACCAGGATTATTGGTTATATTCGTGTGAATGGAAAGGAGATGTTAAATAAATTCCCCTGTGAATTTACATCCTTCACATGGAGGAGTGGAGCTCTGTCTGTCTGTCATCTGTCACACATCCAAATAGAGACTAAAAAGCTTTCCGAAAACATCCGATTAATCTCAGCCTAGCTGCTGCTTGACAGATACCAGCAGGAGAGTAAGTGGTGGTCCGAGGGTCTCGGTCTGAGGGGCGTGTGATGAAAAGCGATGGCATTTTATCACTTCCTGCGGCGGTGCAAGGAGGGCAAGTTGCATCAAAAAAACCCCAGCAATGCTCACAGCAGGGGCCGCCACTCTTGTAAACTATTTTGTTCACTTTGTGGTGAAGGCGAAAACAAAGAGGTCTGGTGTCGAACTGACTTTGAAAGACGCGCTCTGGGTCTGGCGTTGGTGAAAATGGAGAAGTGATAACATTTTGTTGCATTATAAGTACAAACTTTAGTATATTTTATTACTGTTTGGCGGCCGACAAACACAAATTACACACAAGCAGACTCCTTTGATGAATTAAGTGACTTCTGAATGCAGTGGGTTAGATTTTTGTTCAGAGATATGTTGATTACAATTTTTGGAATTTTATTTTGCTAAAAAAAAAACACAAAACCCATTGTATGTTTGCTTTTACTTCAGTGTGCTGGTCTACCACATAAAGTCCTAGTAAAGTGAAAGAAAATACACTGAAGGCTGGAGTTATAAAATGACAAATTGTGAAAATGGGCCTTGTGCTTTTGCACGGCACAGATGAGCAGGAAATGTGTAGAGAAGTTGTGGTCTGTCAGGAACTTTTTTTCCCAAACTCTAAAGGTGAGTGGACCATGTTTGGAGAAGCCTTAGCTCCGCTTTAGGACGGGTCAGCCAAGAAGTTTAACGTTCCAGGCGATTTCTTCCATCTGGTGTGTGTTACACAGTTGTTTACTGTCCCTCATGCTCTTTACACTGAGGCTCCTGCAAACAGAATCTCCTTGCTTGTGGTTTTATGGTCACAAGCTTCGCATTTTATGATTCCATGAAAATGTCCATATATTCGTTTGTCTGTCAAATATAGATAAACATAGTGCGTGTGGTCATGAGATCACCGTGTGCCGTGAGAGCCAGCTGGGCTCCTGTTCGTACGGCTTATGTCAAAGGGCTACTGCACCCCTTTACGGAGAACCTGCGACACGACCGTTAATCAGAGACAACTTTCTCTGGCTTTTGTTCCAGAAGAAGTGGGTGTTGCTGAGAATATCCTCAACAATCTTGGATAGAGGAGCACTTTCTCCAAATGTGGAGATTTCTTTTTTTTTTTTATTTTACGTTTAACGATGGTATATCGCCGGATTGTACAGAGCAATTTCAAGTGCCTTATCAAGAGTGACAGGAATAAATTGCTCCTTTTATCTTCCGATTGTTGTGGCATTTTTAGTGCAACTTTGCCGAGACGTTTGCTGAGCATTTAGGAAAAATGAAATCCAGTCTTCCTGAATATAACCTAAATAGTTTTTTTTTTTTTCCTGTTCCAGCTCTGAGCTCCTATTCTTTAGTGTTAATTTAACTCAAAGCTGAAGGAAATGAAAAGATGAAACTGAACTAACATAATAATCGCAATGGCTTGAAATTTACCATCACAAAAACCATAAACAGTCATGGGGGTGAAGAATGTCAGTGATATACTGGGCTGGTTTGGTCGTGTTCACAAAGAAAATGTGCAGGTTGGTCTGTGTGTGTGTGTGTGTGTGTGTGTGTCATCATTACACGTCACTTTCAGCTGTTTGTGAATGGGTGTGAAAATTGTTTGCTGTAAAGTGTTTTTAGACTTCTTCAGTTTTGGTCATTTATTCATCAGATTGGATAAAATAAGACGCAAATCAAGGAAGATCTCCAATTTGTCCTCTTTAAAATAACGTCGCAGCAGTAAAAAAGCTTCCAAAGACTCTGTGCTACATGTAGTTACACAATATTGTACATTTTCTATCACATTTTGTAAATCTGCGACTTTTATCTTTGTACAGAGTGGAATTGTAGTATTGAAATTATATCTGTGTACAGCCTGTTTGTTGCTTCTTTGTTTTCTTTTTTTTTTGAGAAAATGTTATTTATGATCTATGAATATTGTGAAATATGAATGATATAAAGACAGAGGGTATAATTATATGTGCATTTCTAGAGTTTCATGATTTGCAAAAAGAAAAAAAACAAACAAAGAAAAAAAATACATTGTTGCTGTGCAATATGAGAACTGTACCGTAACTTTTCCACATGTGAGCGCCGGGGTCCAGGGGAGTCGAAGAATGATTTCTGCAGTCAGGAAAGAAGTGTGAGAGCGAGAGAAAACCCTGGAGGATGACAGAAGCTAAAACTAGTTTCAGTGTGGCTCAAAAGCCCAGCGGCGATGGCTTTCATTTTGATTTTCACCTGTAAATTTATGAGGCTTCACCCTCACCCTGGGAAGAAGCCGGTTCACTCAATGGACACACTATATAACTTTTTGCAATTTCACAACCTTTTTTTTTTTTTTTTTTTTTTTCCATAAGTGGTTGTGTGCCCTGGTCTGAACTTCAAGG